ATCTGTCTTTCTCTTTATGGCTTATTTCACTTAGCATCACACTCTCCAGTTCCATCCACGTTGCTACAAAGGGCCATATTTCATTCTTTCTCATTGCCATGTAGTACTCCATTGTGTATATAAACCACCATTTCTTTATCCATTCATCAGTTGATGGACACTTAGGCTCTTTCCATAATTTGGCCATTGTTGAGAGTGCTGCTATAAACATTGGGGTACAAGTGCCCCTATGTCCCTATGCATCCCTTGGGTAAATTCCTAGTAGTGCCATTGCTGGGCCATAGGGTATTTCTGTTTTTAATTTTTTGAGGAACCTCCACACTGTTTTCCAGAGTGGCTGCACCAATTTGCATTCCCACCAACAGTGCCGGAGGGTTCCCATTTTTCCACATCCTCTCCAGCATCTATAGTCTCCTGATTTGTTCATTTTTAGCCCGTAATTTCCAAATATGTTTCTAACTTGGATTCTTCAACTGGCCAATTGCCCCTGGACATATCTATCTCAAACTCAACATGACCCCGTTCCCCACATGGGGCAATGACACTTTCATTTATTCAGTCACCCAAGCCAAAAACCTAGGGCTCTACCTAGAATATTTTTCTTTCAAGCGTGCTTCAACTTCCGGAAGTAATTGGCAATAACAGTTTGCCTCCCAGGTATATTTCATACCTGTCTTTTTTTCCTCTATGCCCACTGTCACTGCCAGCATGATTAGTTCCTAAGCATCTTTTATGGCTTTTGTTTTACTATGGCTATGGCTCTCAGTATTCACTGTGCAGCAGAATCATTTGAAGAAATTAAAACCAAATTCAAATGCTCTATGACTTACTCCAGAAAATGCTTGTGGACAAGAACTGAGCTTTGGTATTTTGAAGACAGTTTAACATGCATTTGGGATTGCAAACCACTGATTTATACTCTTTACAGGTGAACTGGGCCAGATGTAGAAATCATCTGAACGGGAAATATCAGAGTGATTGAAGGCTACCAAAATTATGTCACGGGCCTCTCTGGTAATTATATCTTTAAACAGAAACCAAACAAACAAAGCAGAGCCTGACTTCCCCTGACACTGCCCTGGCAAAGGAATAGAGGGTGCATGGTCTTTGTCAATGCCAGGTAAGGGCAGAAGTGTAGGTTCCCTCTTCTGTCCATGTAGACATTGAGGGAGTAGGGGTGGGGGTCCTCATTATTGGTGGGCTAGGCTCCCACTAGGAACTACAACTCTCCACTAGGCTTCCACTGATACTTCCTTAGCTGGGAGGGGTAAGAGGGCCTCATTACTGCTCCCTATGTGGCCTCCACTGGTGTTATAGTGGGGATGCTTGGCCTCCTTACAGGAGACAGTGGCGAAAGTCCTGACTCTTGACTCTCAGTTAGGCTTCTCCTCTGACTGCATCTCAACAGGGAGGAGGAGGGGTGTCTCATTACTGTCAGGTAGGGGTGGAAATCCAGGTTCCCCATGTAGTCTCCAATGGCACTGTGAGCAACGGGATGGGGACACGTGTGTGTGGAGGGGTACTTGTTATAATTCAGCAGTGGGGATAGAAGTCCTGGCTCTCGACTTTGCCATCTCCAACATCACACCAGTGGGATTGAGGTACAGGGGTACTGGGGTATTAGGATGTTGGGGTGTTTCATTATAGCCTATAGAGTGTGCAAGTCTAGGCTCCTTGCTTGGCCTTTGTAGGAATGGGGGGGGGGGTCATAGGTTTTGACTGTTGGTGTTTATCTACAGCAGAGTAGTTATTTTCTAATGTCTTGGTAGGCTGTCCTTTCCTCATCCTCTGCCTAAAGGGGGTAGCCTTTTACTGGGGGAGTTCCGTCTGTGTCTCTTGGCATTTTTGGGTTTCTAGGTTTTTGTTTGTTTGTTTGTTTGTTTGTTTGTTTTTAAATTTTTTTTTCCAACGTTTTTATTTATTTTTGGGACAGAGAGACAGAGCATGAACGGGGGAGGGGCAGAGAGAGAGGGAGACACAGAATCGGAAACAGGCTCCAGGCTCTGAGCCATCAGCCCAGAGCCTGACGCGGGGCTCGAACTCCCGGACCGCGAGATCGTGACCTGGCTGAAGTCGGACGCTCAACCGACTGCGCCACCCAGGCGCCCCTGTTTGTTTGTTTTTTAAGTAGACTCCACACAAAGTGTAGAGCCTACTACAGGGCTTGAACTTACAACCCTGAGACCAGCACCTGAGCTGAGATCAAGAGTCGGGACGCTTCACCAACTGAGCCACCCAGGTGCCCCAGGGTTCTAGTTTTTGGCTTCTCTAGTACACAGTATGGGAGTATAAGGCTAAACAAACACCCAGGAACTTACCTCTGTGTTCGTCTTTGGGTCCTGAGGTCCCTAGCTAGTGTGCTGTTTTTCCTCTACTTTTCAGAGTTTCTTTAATTTGTTTTATATATAATGTCCAGAGGTTTTAGTTGTACTTTTTTGGAGGGATAGAGAAAAGTAGACTTACTCCATCTTCCCAGAAGCAGAAGCGAAGAGCCTGTAATGTATTGAAACACAACTTCAAACAAAACTACTTGGCAGAGATCTAGGGAGAAGTTGCAATGCGCTTCAAACAAAGATATCAGGAAGGCAATCAAATAAAGCCAGCCAGAGGCAGTAACAGCCTTTGCAAATACAGGAATATCTGCAAGCACCTCCAGATAGTAATTACGTAAAAATCATAATGTTTATCATAAACATCTATGAAAATCTGAGAGCCTTAATTTGTGAATCAGTATCGGGCTTCTGGGAGGAGATATTGAACTACGTGATGTAGGGATATGGAGAAACTGTGACTTATCTCCTGGTTCTGGTTAAGGAAAAAAGAGTCAAATATTTTTAATGCCTCATTCCGTTTTCAAAGCCATCACATTAGTGCTTTCTTTTTTTTAAAGAAAGCACAAATTAAAAAGACCTCGGGGCGCCTGGGTGGCGCCGTCGGTTGAGCGTCCGACTTCAGCCAGGTCATGATCTCGCGGTCCGTGAGTTCGAGCCCCGCGTGGGGCTCCGGGCTGATGGCTCGGAGCCTGGAGCCTGTTTCCGATTCTGTGTCTCCCTCTCTCTCTGCCCCTCCCCCGTTCATGCTCTGTCTCTGTCCCAAAAATAAATAAAACGTTGAGAAAAAAAAAATTAAAAAAAAAAAAAAAAAAAGACCTCATGCCCAGCTTTAGTTCTGCCTGCTCTTTTTTTCTGAGCCCCTTCCCCCTTTCTCCCTTTTGAGTCCTAGTAAAATGCTGTTCATAGGAGGCAACCCTGTGTAAAGAAATACTCATTTTCAAGACAAGATCCCTATAAACAACCTAGAGAAACAAAAACAGTAGCTCACAATAAAAATGACAAAAACAATCTGATTGGATATAAAATCTCAAGAGGACTGGGATATAAACTTTAGGAGCTGGAGATGAATTGATAGGTTGTCCTGTGTTGCAAATAGCTCTGCTATGTAGGCTGACATAGTTGAAAGGCAGAACACATTTCAGCAGTTAATTATAGAAATCCGTAGGGCTATGTTTATTGGTTGCAGGAGGTTTATCCCAGCTAAAACCTAAATAAACTGCAAAGAGGATCTGGTAGGACATGCTCCAGAAACCAATAAATAGATTTGGGTGAGAACCCAAATCTAGGAGACTGTCCCAGTAGCTGGAATGATTTTTTCCCCCTTGCTTCCTCCCTTCTTCCTTTTGGTTGGTGGAGGGTGGAGGGTGGAGGGTTGGGGTGGAGAGACAGCCGAAGACGGGAAATTGTTTTCTTACCCGTTACAAATCTGAACCTTGCCCTCTGTACCAGGTTCTGGAAATATTGCTAGCATGCCCAGAAACGTGACAGAATCTGTTTGGAAATTATTCGGTTCCTTTCCTTTCTGTAGGCACTTCCAACTCTTTGCTTTGGAGTGAAGCAAAAATGAAGGTCAAAGTCAAATCTGTGGATTCTGCTACTTAGATTAAAAGGTTGCGTGAGCACAATCTGGGCAAATGATTAAATAGAAAGAATTTAGAGGGGGTGGACACCCTGGGATTTCTATTCTCCTAGCCACTCCTCACTGTTTTTCTTCCTGTTCTACCTTTCCAGCAAAGGTTGCAACTCTTCCTTTGCATGTGTCACAACCCTTCGCTGGGGTCAGTGGAGATGGAAAGCCCTGCAATTATTGCCAAAGGGTCCCAAGATTCAAATATGTACACCAAACACCGGCAGAAGAGTGAAGAAATATCTCTCTTTGACCCAAACACATTTAGACAACTTTCTGGATTTTCATTTATCCTTAGATTTTGCTTATGAAATGCAGAATTTTCAAACATTAGAGAAATACATATCAGAGAGTACAAGTTGCCAGTAATTCTACCCTTCAAAGAGAACAAGGTTCCCAACTTGTTTTCCTACTCTTTTTCAAATTTATGGAGAAACTGTTGTGTTAAATAAAATCAAATTAATTTAAAAGTTACTACATTTATGGTAGATTTCTGTTGTTCCTCAACGAACAGATGCTCAAAATACAAATACTAACATCAGGAGATCCGCAAATTACTGAAGTTAAACATGGGTCCCTATACTTTAAGAAAAGCTAGGAATTTCTGCTCTTGCCTAAAAATTGCAGCAGCTGCGAACTAAAATTTCGTCTCCGTCTCAGTGGAAGCAACTCACGCCGTTACACCCTCCGAGGGGCGGTTCTGCGAGGTCAAGAGCTCGTTGGAGGCTGCAGTGAGCGGCAGTCACCGCCTCTCACACACCCGCTGCGTTTTGATAAACAAGGAGACTCGCGCCCGCTGTCTGTAGAGGAAGGAGGAGCTAGGGGGCGGGGCCAGGCCCTTGATGTGGGTGGGGCTCGAAAAGCCTTCCTATTGGTGGTTAGCGAAGAGAGGGGACCTGAGAATCTGATTGGCCTGGCCCCCTGTTCCTAAGCGGATTGACGACCCCTGGCTCGCCGGGCCGCGCCTCTCGGCGTCGCGCTCCTCCCCTCGCGGGTGGGTGCCGACCCCGAACTGCAGAGCGCGTGCGCGCGCGGCCCCACGCCGCGGCGGATCCCGCCCGCTCCGCCGCGCACACTCGCAATCAGTGGGCGAGCCGGGAGCCGCGGAGGTCACCGCGGGGAGGCGGGGGGCCGGGCAGCATGGCAGCCTCCTTACGGCTCCGTGGAGCCGCCTCCGGCCTCCGGTTTTGGAGCCGCCGGCAGCGTCCGGCAGTGGCCAGCCCTGCAGTGGGTAAGGACCTCGCGCCTTCTCCCCCAGTCCCTCCTCTGGCTGCCCGCTTCTCGCTCCCTGACGGCAGAAGAGGTGTTTTCACGGGAGGCGCTGCGGTTGGATCCGGGCTTAAAACCCCCAATTTTGGTTGGTCCCAAGGCCTGGCCTCTTCTGCGGCTACCTCTCGCACAGCTAGTGCTTCGTCCCCACTACCCCCGCCCGGGATCCGCATGAATGGCGTTCAGCGTCTTTTTTTCGAGACTTAAGGAGTGGGAAGAGGTGGGGGTAAGGGAGGAGAATTTGGCTCCGGGGCGTGCTTTTTGGAGTTAGGAATCCGAGGACAATTGGAGGGCCCAACCCCAAGGGCGACCGGCCATCTACCCCTGCGACTCCTGGGCTTACAGCTCCCGTTGACCTTTCAACTCCCCGCCCCCCCCCCCCCCCCCCCAGGGTGCACCCCGGCAGGCGAACCTTTGGCATCGGGGCTTGATTTTTGTTTAACCACCTTAAGCGCGTAGGATGGTCTTACACAAGTGGTTGTGTATACAAACCAGGTGACAAGTCCAGTAAAGTTTTAAGTCACTTTTGATTAGCAAGGCGGGCCGCCCCTGCCGCCGTTTCTTTCACTTCTGTCAAACTACTAACCAAGACACTTTCAGCGTCCTCAAAATTTTGTCCTGAAGCTGTTCTGTTCCTTCCCCCTCATACCATTTTAAGTTATGACAGCTAATCATCGGCTTAGGAAGAGGCAGGTTTTAGATCCTCAGAGATCTAATCTTTGTCAGTTTTCTGGTGAAGAGCTGGAATGAATTAGGGCATCGCAGCAGGATTTGGAAAGTAGTTCTTGATTCTTCTTGATTCTTCCTCATTCTTGCATTTCTACTACACAGTTCTACTAATTGAAAAATTGGTTGATTTGTGGGGATACTGCCATTGTAATAAATAGTGGCAGTAATAGTTCTTTCAATTCATGCTTTCAGTAAGAGTTTGAGAGTTTTAACAATGCATTGTTGAGCAGTTTCATACCCAGGATTTTTTTTTTTTTTTTAAAGCCTTGGTATTAATTTTTTCTGATCACTTAAAACTGTAGCAGGCTGGGAACTTAGTTCTTAATAGCTCCCCTTCCTCCCGCTGGGTAAAACCTAAGAACAGTGAATTTCCTATCTGGCTTAAGACAGGCAGGCTCCATGTGATTCAAGAGAACAGATGTCTGATACAGAATCACGGTAACAAGATACAAACTCACAGAATCTGCTAAACTTGAGTGGAACCGCTGTTTGAGCTAACATGTATGTATTGAGCTACCAAAAAAAAATGCCTCCCACTTTGGAGATACTTAAAAAGTATATATATTAGTCACTTCTCCACAGTACTAAATGTAGCACCAGTTTTCACATGAATGTGCTATTCTTTCAGTTTTGATTAGCCAGGGAAGACATATGTGCTGTTTAGTGGTTTTACAAGGTGTTCTAATGATATTTTAATGAACCTTTGATGTACCCTTTAGAGTTATGAAAGTTCTTTCAAAAGGGCCGGAGGCCTAAAACTGTCACACTTGCCTCTAAACTCGATGGGTCTACTTCACAATGCTGGCTAGGCATATAATCTTGTTCTTTAGGTTCTTTGACCCAAAGGTGTATGAATATAGATTGATGATAAATTTTAAATATTTCCTTTTTTGGTGATTACTTAAAACTTCAACAATTGTTTTTACTCAGTGGAATTGTTTTAAATGTTTCTGTTAACTTTACTAAATTTACTTTTATGTTAATTTTTTTTTTGAAATTGAAGTCTTAAAAATTTTTTTTTAAAGTTTTACGTGCAAATTTAGAGTCTAGGGACATAAAGAAAAAGAACATGTTCAAATAGTAACATTACTTAGTATTCTGAATTATGTGGGATACTTGTTTCCATATTATGTTTAGGATGGTTATATCATGGATGATACCATTGGAAAGATCCATACAATTTATTTACTAAAAAAAAAGAAAAAAAAAAGACCTAAATGTTCCCGATTAATAGCATATCTTAATTTTAAAATGTTTAAAGCATCAAAAAGGAAAAATGAAAGAAATATTAAGCTGTACATATATTACTATTTTATCACCATTTATTAAAAAGTTTTGTTTTGGGGGGCACCTGGGTGGCTCAGTTAAGCGTCTGACTTGTGCTCAGGTCATGATCGCGCGGTTTGTTAGTTCGAGCCCCACGTTGGGCTCTGTGCTGACGGCTCAGAGCCTGGAGCCTGCTTCGGATTCTGTGTCTCCCTCTCTCTGCCCCTCCCCTGCTCATGGTCTGTCTCTCTCTGTCTCTCAATAATAAATAAATGTTAAATTTAAAAAAACCCTCCCAATTATAGGTCCTTTGTATTTATTGTGACTCATCAGCATGTACATGGAAAAATAATTTGTATCAGGTCATCTTAAAATGACCACCTAACCAAAGGTGGAATGGGAAAATTAACCAGCATCATGTGCAGAAATGGGAATAAGTTTTTAAAATTACTGGCTCTTTTTTGTATGTATGAAATCTATTTTCGGTTTTCAATTTCAAAATATTCTCTATTTTCAAAGGAACACATACTATAAATGAAATATGTGGCGTTTTTCCCTTAAACCTCTAGGGTTGTACATGACACTCTGAAAAGCTCCGTGTTGTCCTTGGACCGAAAGTTGACCTTAGGCTGGTGAGATTACGTAGGGAGGATATGTATTTCTAAAATGTCTTGACTGAAATGATAAAGGTCTTTGTAGAGTAAGTCACCACCCTTAGTTTGGTAATAGTATTAAAGCAAATAAAATAGTTCAGACATAATATCATGTGATAGAGTAGGATACAAAGTCGTGTGTACCTTATAATCTCACAATACAATGAGGAATTGCACTTAAAAGACTGGAAGGGCTGTGCGAAATGCTAATAGTGGTTATTTTTGTGTAGTGAGGTAAGCTCTTCCCCTTACCATGATACTTTTCATATTTTCCAGTTTTCTTCAATTTTTGCATTTTGAAATTTAGAGTAGCCTGGTTTTTGGTAGTACTGAATATTACCAAGACATGGATAGCTTTGCCCCTGTCTCACTGGAGAAAAAGAACATAACTTATAAATTTATATCTGTGGATTTAGAAATTAATGTTGCAAAATTTTGTAGCTGGTTTCTTTATCATTCAACCAATGACACCTGTGTATCGTGTTGACTGATTTTCTGCCAGCCCGATTATAGCTTTGGTCTAATTCTGCTGTTTCTACACATTGATGTGTGTGGCTTATTTAAAGGAAGATATATTATTTAAGTTTGAAAGCTTTTAGGGTAATAATTCTATTATACTTATTTGAATTTCTACCTTTTTGGGAGCATATTCTTTTTAAAAAAAAAATGTTTATTTCTTTTGAGAGAGAGCGCACACACACATACACACACACACATGTGTGAGCGGGCATGGATCAGAAAGTGAGGGAGAGAGAGAATCCGAAACAGGCTCTGTGTTGTCAGCGCAGAGCCCGATACAGGGCTTGATCCCATGAACCGTGAGATCGTGACCTGAGTTGAAATTAAGAATCAGGTGCTTAACCAACTGAGCTATCCAAGCACCCCGGAAGCATATATAAATATTGTCTGAACACTCCTGATGCTTCATCTTAACTAAGAGCTTCTTTCTTTAGATAGAGAGCATCCCCTAAAATACTCCCTATCCGTTTTTCTAACACTCTGGCTCTCCTTACTTGCTAGGCAAAATGGGAATTTGGCCTAGGACTTGTACCCCAGTGCTGCTGCTTGACTACTGGATAGTGAAAGTAACAAATACTTATTGACTCTCATGTGCCAGTCACCATTTGACGCTTTACATGTATTATCTCAAGCAGTCCTTAAGTATCTTCAGGTAACCTGAACTAGTTACTCTTGTTGATAAAACTTAATGGTTAGAGAAGTTAAGTAACTTGTCGGTTCAAGGGCACACATCTAAGAAGTGACCTTGCCTAGATAGGAACCTAGGTCTTCTAAATTCAGAGTTCTTAAATAGGATCAGTAAATGCTCTCTTCTCTTTTGACATTAAATCATATAATTATACTCTCCTTTTCTGTCTTTGCTCCAAGCAAAGGTGAAATGAAGAGAACAACTGAGGCCATAGCTGGGCCTCAACTTGAACAACTTAAATCAACACTCTACTTCAGCTCATCCAAAATATCATTGCTAGAAATTCTATACTGTCAATATTTCAAAAGTTGAACTAGTCTTCTGGTTAATATCCCCCCCGCCCCACCATTCTGTTAACCAACATGCTGTATATCATCATCCTTACACTTGGTCCTGTGACCCGCTTTTCTTCCCCCAAATACATAGACACTTTTCTGCTCCCTCGTTTCGTTAAGTCCTCTCTAGGTTTGTCTCTATCCAGCTGAGACTTCAGACTTATTTATAATCAGGGATTTCAGCAATGCCTTTAACAGCATTCTGGGTATTATTTTTTCTCCACCTCCTGCTCTTATTCTGGGTAACTTCTGTTGTCTGTGGTCTGTGTTCTTCTTGGCTGCCACTTAAGTAGTGTTACTGATAGTCACAGAAATTTGCTGATTAGATACAATCCTTTTATTAATTTCTAGTTCATTCTCTCTTCCATATTCAGATTACTCACAGCATTTCCAAATATTTTATTCAGGGCTGTCAGTCTGTGGAACCAGTCAGATGTAGAGAGATGGCATCACAATGATTGGTTTAGTTATTTTTTTTTAAGCTTATTTATTTATTTTGAGAGAGAGAGAGAGAGAGAGAGAGAGAACCCAAAGCAGGCTCCATACCGTCAGTGCGAGCCTGATGCAGGGCTTGAACTCACACACCACAAGATCATGACCTGAGTTGAAGTTGGGATTCTTACCCGACTGAGCCACCTACATGTCCCATGATTGGCTTAGGTTATTTGGAACTTGACCCTGGGTCTGGGAGGAAGGGATATTAGAGAGTCAACCTGCAATGTTCAATGGTTGCTGTAACACATTATCTTTGCTGGATCTACTTTATCACAATCTTTATGTTGTAATTGCTTCAGAACTGACTTTTGTCCCCATATGCCCATTTGATGAAACCTCTCTCTAGTCATTCACTAGTATAACATTATTAAACACTCATTATATGCCAATTCATCTATTTTACTTTATTATAAAAGTAGTTACAAAAGTTATATGCACATGGTAAAAAGTCAAAAGATTGTAAAAAATAGTCTTCTCTCTAACTCTGACCCATCA